GGTCTCCTCATGCGTGCGACAGCGAAGCGCCTATGAGCGCTACGTAGACCCGGTCTGAGCTCAAGCCGAGTCAAGGCGCACGTAGACCTACCCTGGCTGGCTGATGTTCACGCAGGCCTATATAAAGCCATTCGACAACAAAAACAAAAACTAAACTAACAACGCCATCGTGGACACGAAGGAGTGATCTAGGCCTACACCTGAAGTAAGGACGGGGTTGAGATTTTCAGTTCTTACTAGGCTAAAATTAATGTGCACTGTTTTCTGCATAAACGCACGTATAGTAGATTGGTCGGTCTTATTTTACTTTTTACCTGTATCTTTATCCAGTCTGTCATAATCTGGGCCTTTACAGTCTTTGCTATTGCAGTGAAGGGTTTAAAAAAGGCGTCTGCAAGTTGGCCTTAATGGCATCTTCATTGTTTAAAAGAAAACTAGATCTAATGTAGTACATTGAAATGATAATACATGTCAATGTTGGCCTACATGGTAAGTTTTTAGCCGCGAATCGAATAGGCAAAATGACGAGCATGAAATTTTCTTTCAAGGGGAAATAAGTCTAAATAAAGGTTAAAGGTGAAAAGGGAAAGGTGATCTTAAAAGTCTTGAACTTACCTCTAGCCAAGCACTTTGCACTTCGTGTTCCCAGTTCCCAGTCCCAGAGAGTTTTTATACTTGATGTATTGACTCTTCCGTCTCTCACTCTGGTGTTCCACAGCTGCAGACCCAAGGTGCCGATTGCAGTAAAGAACTTCCAAGTTCAACGCATTCCAAAGTCAGCCTAGAACTATGTCAAAGCTAGCAAATTTCCGCGAGATTGGGAGGAAAATTGTGTGTGTTGGACGTAATTACAGGTTGGTCAAATTTCGATAATTTTTTTGTTACAGAAAAAAATAAAGAAAATAATTGACTGAGTTAGACATCGACACCACATCGGTCAGTCAGTTGAGTTAGATCTAGATCTAGATCTCGATCTAGATAGGCCTATCTACTCTAGTATATCATATACAGTACAGGGTGCCCATTGCGGATGGGGTCGGATCAGGTGGGGCGGGGGGCGGTCAATCGCCCCACTCGTCGCCTAGTTTCCGAGTGGGGCAATGGGCCCGACCCGCCAATCCCATCCGTAATGGGCACCCTGAATTAGTCTAGTAATAATCAATTTTATTCACATTGTCTATCGATTAAAAAAAATAATAAAAAAATAAAGAGAACCGTATAGAATCTATACAACGATTTATAATGGTCATGGACGGACAAATAGTCGTACACTGTAACACTAGCAGACACGTGGATCTAATTATTTTATAATTATACCCAGCGCACACCAATACGTGGTGCCCATTGCGGATGAGATCGGGTCGGGTCGCGGGTGATCGCCCCACTCGTTTGAATTGAAGGTCACTCTGATTGTGATTATGAGACTGACGCGCTACCATGGGAGCGAACGATGAGCCTGCAAGATGGTGCTACGGCCAGCTGCCGCCGAGGGATGTCTGTCTATCAACTGACAAACCAAGACGACAGCTACAGAACATCATGTCGACCCACCTGGAAGACCAGGACCTCAACAAAGCTCGGGTTTTTCCTTGGCTGCCAGCATAACCCGGTCTGGCTGGCCCGCTTGCGGAACTCGTCTGCTGCGACATTTCAGTGACCTTTTTTCTGCCCTTTTCAAGGTCCCCAGAGCAAGTGTAGAGTTCCTGCATGCTGTTGGCATTGCTGACTGTTTATGATGCCACAGAGCCAGAAGAGAGAGAGAGATTGAAGGTCTCTACCAAATTCAGTGAAATTGTGTCAAAATGGTAGCTCTTGCCCCACCATGAAAGAAAATCTGGGTGGTTCCCATTCAATCAAATGAATTTGATTGGCTTGGCAGTGTGCATTTAGTATTGTTAATGTTGGAAAGGAGTGCAGAGTCACTGTAATCTGTGACTGTAATAATTATATCTTTAACTGCTGGCTGTATTCTCTCCAGCTCAAGTGCCTAATCATTACTGCTCTATGTGATTTGGCTCTCAACAAATGAAAAGGTCATCGAAACATCATAACTGTTCAAATAGTCTAGTGATTAGTATCTTGTGGAATAAATTTTATTTCGCTGCACTGTTTAAAACTTTCTTTTTTAACTAAACCAGTTTTTGTTAGTTGCAACTGTAGTAGAAAATGGGACATATTCGCTTTATATATAGGGAGGGAAAGAATTGCCGACGAACATTTGCCGACCACAAGAAAAGTCACATGACTTGAGGAAAGAACTTGATTGACACACAAAGGATGTTGCGATTTGCCAGCAAAGGTCTGCCTCTTTTGTCACGTCACTTTTGGAGGTAAAATCGTGTTTTGTGACAAAAGAAGTTGACTTTGGTATGGTGCCTCACTTTTCTAGAGATGTGATGGTTCTTGTTTTGGCCAAACTTCAAAAAGAATGTTTTGTCTTCAATTGTTTCTATGGTAATACGACTTACGATTTGATCGAATTTCAAAACCAGATTTATTCCTATTTTATATTTTGGATTTTCCTTGTCGTTATAAGAAAAGACCATACAAATAGCATTAAATAAATTTTTAATGACAAGAATGTTTGCTTTGTTGATCTTCTGCCACACAAATGACATAAATGCAGTTATGAAACTCCAGAGTCTGTTTTTGTTGTCTGGTACTTCTGAAATGATTCTTGTTTTCCACCTCTGTTTTATTTCAGTGAACATGCTGCAGAGTTGAACAATCCTGTACCAACCAAGCCCATTCTGTTTCTCAAACCCACTTCATCATATGTAGCAGAGGGGTCTCCCATCAAGGTAATTTGACCTGCTTCTACACTCAGAGGAAGGACCAGTTAACAGTGGTTGTATAAATATATATGTGTCCATGTCGGTCAATATCAGTCATCTGAAGGAAATTTCAAAACTGAGTTAACATCATTTTTAAAAACTATCACCTTTTCCCTACAATTTAAACTAAAAATGAAGTAAATAGTAAATATGACCATATTTGACGAAAATACAGAACTTTTAATAGTGCGAGGTGAGGAAACACGAAAAGGAGAAAATGGCTTCCGAAGTTGAGCAACCTGTTTCCATAGCAATGGGGGTCGTAGAATTGAGATAGAGACTTGAAATTTTAGCAGTTATCTTGGCTATGCCACGACAAGGTAACATGCAAAAGTAGAAAACTATTCCTTTACAGAGGAAAAAAACTTATGGACCAAACTAAATTTTAATGAGAATGGACTTCGCACCAAATGCAACAAAATATTATATAATACTAGGTACCAGACACTAAATTTTCAAAGTAGCTGAATGTCAAATTCATCTGTTTTATATGAAAGGCCTAGTGTCTCCTGAGAATTTTGGAACCATACTTTTACCTTTCAGTCAATGTTTAAGAGAATGGCAGCTGTTTCAATTTAGCATAATAATAAAATATTGCTGAAGTTGTTTACTGGCTGCAACCCCATGTTTGACAGATAGTAAAAGAGTACCAAGTGCACCAAACATCTCTACATTAAAAGAGTACATTCACTATAACATAGAAATGAAGCCTAATATTTTTCAAGACTGTGAGATCATTACAAGTCAGTATTTTTTTGCCTCAAACACGATGATCTGTTGTTTTTTCAATAAAAACACTGAGCGTTGTCTCGGCTGGCGTCGCACCAGCCTTCTCGGCGACCGGCTCAATACTGTAGTATGCTGAGAGCTCCCAGTAGTTTCGCAGAAGGATTCATGCACAATAATTCTAAGCCGATGACTTTACTTTATTCTAATAGAGAAGGACCTGTAATTTCTACTATTGGTACCTTTTTTAGCCGGTATTTTACACATTTCGTGTTAAAAATGATCTTTGAAAACTTCGACCCTTTTTTTCAATGTTTTCTTTCTAAACTCCAAAGGCCAAAAATAATAACTGCGGGAAAACCACACACAAAGCTGTACAGTTCTCCGCCAATGAAAAGACAGTATTTAATTATCAATCTTTCTGCAAAGCATTCCAATGCATGGGTGTCAATTTTAAACCAGGGGACCTGGCATTCCGACCTCGAGGGGCTTCCTTTTCCACTGCGATTCTCCAGCTCCAAAATCCCGGATATACATACAACTTACAGTATTATAATGAAGAAAATCTGAACTTTTTCAAAGTGTTCAGCATTTGGTGTTTTATAGCAAAAGAGCAAAGAAACAGAGATCTGAATTACCCCCATTTCACCAAAACCACGTGCTTGGAAGGCTGCGAGTCGGCTTACGTGCCGTGTTTACCCTAAATGATTATGCGTTTGCAATTGCACCTTAAACACGAGAGCACACACACACACA